CCAAATGAAAGAATTGGAATGACTTGGAATTCCAATTCATAGAATTTCAGTTCTATAGAATTTTGATTCTAATTCAATTCTAATTCGGTAGAACCAAACGCACCCTTAAGGATCAATTGCATTTGCTCAGCATCTAAAGAGTCTTTTTTGTATTTGATTAATTATGAAGATGATTTTAGAATAATTATGTTTTCCAGTTTTCAAATGGGCAAATTGTTATATTTGTTAGATTAAAAGTAAGCCCAAATAGAGCTAACTACCACTAGAAACCCTCTAGAGTTAAAGTTTTAACTACCAAGCACATCATGCAACCATGGTGTGAAGCCCCTACTCTTAAAATGGTTTTCCAAGATTTGCTTTATTAATCAGGAAGAATAGGGGGAGGAGTCCAAGAGTGTAAAATCAGCTTGATTGGAAAGGTGCTGGGTGAGAAAGCCTCAAACTACACGGGTGTGAAGAATTTTGTGACCACTGCATGGGGGTACCCAAAACATTTGAGAGTGGTGGAATTAGGACTGAACATGTTCCAGTTTGTTGTGCCTTCCGAAAGTGACAGAGAGAGGATCCTGCAGGGAGGACCTTGGATAATGGATAATCAATTGCTTGTTCTGAATAGTTGGTATGAAGGGATAGAGGATGATGAAAAGGCTTTTTGTTTGGCACCACTTTGGATCCAAGTTTGGAATTTACCGGTTCACTGGATGTCCAAAGAGGCAGGTAAGAAGATTGGCTCATTCTTTCATCAGGTTAGAGAGGTTATAATTCCCCAGACTGGGGGAAAGGAAGGTAGACATTTGAAGCTTTTAGCTATGGTGAACACACACCTCCCTCTGCTGAGAGGAACAATTGTAAAGGTGGGGGAGGTTACTAAGTGGGCTAGTTTCAAGTATGAGCGATGCCTAGACTTTTGCTATAATTGTGGAATCATAGGCCATAGTGAAAGGACCTGCTCGAAGTCAGGCTCTTTGAGTGGAGGAAAAAAGGACAACCAGTACGGTCCTTGGCTCCGAAGTGGAAATTCGAGGGTATCTTCACAAGAGAAACAGACAAATATAGTGTATAACCCACAGAAACAGCAATGGAGGCTCCAAGATGGACTGTGGAAGGAGAAAGAAAGTAATGAGGGTCAGAAGGGTGAAAAGAAGGACCACTCAGACCAGTAATTGCTCCAGACAGCAAGGAGAACCTAGTACCATTAACGACCAAGAAGGTCAACGTCAGGGAGAACAGAGGAGAGGTTTAACTGAGCATCTTAGTAATCTAGTTTGTAAACCAACTATTAACGCTGAGAATGCTAGAAGTGATGGGACGGATGGCCAGATCCAGAGGGAACAATTAAGTGAACAGACTAGTTTCCCTGCTATTCAAAAGACTGATCTGGAACCGAGTGGTAGTGGTGAAGGTTTAGGAAGTCAGATTCAGCATAATCTCAGTGAAAGATGTAGGTTATCAAATGCACAAGATGGGAGGCCAGGGGAAAAGATGCAGCCCGGGAATGAAGATAAGGAAGTAGAGAGTTCAGATGTCTTGATGATGGAAGTAGGATGTGGTACTATGACAGTTCAGCTTCCCAAACTTGGTCATGCAGAAGGTAGCAATCAAGGTTTGGAGACAGTGAGTTTATCACCTCTGCTGGAACAAAAGAGGTCCGAGGCTATAGGTAAACAAAACAGAAGGATTCTAAGAGCCTTGAAATCCCCCAAGAAACCAAAACAGTCTTTTCAAGAGCCCACATCAGCTTATCTTAGGGGGAGAAAAACAGGAAAAAGAAAAGGTGGAGTGGATGAGATGGAGATAAAAACTGATGAAATTAGTATTCAATGTGGCAAGAGGAACAAAACTGAGTTAAGTGGACTAGCAATAAGATCGGATTCTGAGGGGGAGGGTTCCAACCCATTTGGGACCCCAAAGTTTAGATGAGAGTGCTGGTGTGGAATTGTCAAGGAGTGGGGAGCCCCTTGACAATTCCCCAGTTGAGAGAGGTGAACAACCTTTCCTCTCCAAGTATGGTGTTTTTGTCTGAAACTAAGAATAGGAGTAATTATAGGGGAAAAGTTAAAAACATTTTGAAGTTTGATGAGATGCAAGTTGTCGAGTTTATGAATAAGGCTGGAGGTATGGCGCTAATGTGGAAGGCGGAGGTAAGGATCAAGCAAGTTTTGTGTACAGCTTTTACCATTGAAGCTCACATTGCGGATGATGAGAATAGGAGTGAATGGTGGTTTATAGGGATATACACAAGCTGTGATGATCAAATTCGGAAACAACAATGGAAAGTAATCCAATCCAGGAAGCATCTTTGGGGTGATAAATGGCTAATAGCAGGGGACTTTAATGACATTGTTTCAAATGCTGAAAAGTGGGGAGGCAACAGGAGGGAAGAAGGTAGTTTCAAGCCCTTTAAGGACTTCATCAACGATAATCAGCTCCTGGAGATTGGATTCGAGGGACACCCATGGACTTGGTGCAACAATTGGGAAGGGGAAGGTGAGATCAAACAGCGGCTGGATAGAGGTTTGTGTAGCTTTCCGTGGTATCAACTCTTTCAGCAAGCTAGCTGCCAACATTGTGATTCATGCTTCAGACCATAGCATACTGCTCTTTGACACTAAACCTATCCAAGCTAGGAGGAAGAAAAGATTCTACTTTGATAAAAGATGGTTGCAACACCAAGAGATTTATGAGGTTGTGGAACAGGCTTGGAGGCAAGGAAATGATGGTTCCAGGATGTATAAAGTAACCCAGAAAATTAAATCGTGTAGATCAGCTTTATTAAAGTGGAGAAGTAAGGTTCAAGGAAATTCAAAGCTTAAGATTGATAGGATCAAGGGTCAGTTGCAGGAGCTCAAAGAGTGTGATATAAGTGACAAGAAGGAGCGGGGGAAAATTCTCAAAAGCAACTTAAGAGAGGCTTACAGACAGGAAGAAATATATTGGAGCCAAAAAGCTAGGCTGCAATGGCTGAAGGAAGGGGATAAAAATACCAAGTTCTTCCATGCGTGTGTCAAAGATAGAAGGAGGTTGAACAGGATGAAACATATCCAGAGGGAGAATGGGAGCTGGACTACAAATGAAGAGGACCTAGGCACGGAAATTGCAGCTTATTACACTAAGCTCTTTGAAGCTTCAGAAGAAGGTGATATGCAGGAAATGTTAAATGGTATACCACACACTATCACAGGGACTATGAATGACAAACTTACGAAATCTGTAGGTGAGGTAGAAATCAAAGCTGCACTTTTCTCCATGTGTCCTGATAAAGCTCCTGGGATAGACGGGATGCCTCCTATTTTTTTTCAAAAGTTTTGGAAAATTATTAAAGAGGATCTGGTCAAGGCTATTCAAACTTTTTTTCATACAGGGCATCTCATTAAGTCAGTCAATCACACAATCATATCCCTCATTCCCAAAGTCAAAAATCCTACATCTCTTAAGCAGTACAGACCAATCAGCCTCTGCTCTACGGTGTATAAAATCATAGCCAAAATTCTTGCTAATAGACTCAAGCAGGTCTCCACCACTGCATTAGTAAAAATCAGTCAGCTTTCATTCCTCGACGACAAATTCTTGATAATATCATGCTCTCTCATGAGTTCATTCATTATCTTAATAACAAAAGGCTAGGCAAAGATGGGTTTATGGCTGTGAAATTAGATATGTCTAAGGCTTATGACAGAGTTGAATGGAGGTTTTTGGATGCTGTGATGAACAAAATGGGATTCAATGACCGTTGGAGGAGGTGGATCATGGAGTGCATGTCAACAGTCAATTACTCTTTCACGATCAATGGTCAAATCAGAGAATATGTGACTCCCCAGAGAGGAATTAGGCAGGGAGATCCGTTGTCACCATACCTGTTTCTCTTATGTTCAGAAGGACTCTCTAGCTTACTCCACACAGCTACGGAGGAAAAAAAGGATAATGGGTTTAAAAATCAGTAGACTTGGTCCTACTGTGTCCCATTTATTTTTTGCTGATGACTCGCTGATATTTTGCAAAGCCGACCCAAAGAATGCAACTGAATTGAGAAGGATTCTCCAGGTGTATGAGAAGAGCACTGAACAGATGGTTAACTTGGAGAAGTCTTCAGTTTTATTTAGTAAAAATGTGGATCAGCAACTACAACTGGCTACTTCTCAAGCTCTAGGGAACATTCAGATTGTTAATAAAGGGAGATATCTGGGGCTTCCAATGGTAGTTACTCGATCTAAACATCAGTTATTTGGGTACATTAAGGATAATATCCAACACAGGCTACAAAGGTGGAAAAATAAGTTGTTGAGTGCGGCTGGGAAAGAGGTAATGCTTAAGGCAGTTGCTTATGCACTACCAACTTACACTATGTCATGCTTCAAGATTCCAAAAAGGATGTGTAAGGATATCAACTCCATCGTGGCAAATTATTGGTGGGGAGAGGCTAATGGAAGAAACAAAATGCATTGGAGCTCTTGGAGTAACATCTCGCGAGATAGGATTTCTGGAGGACTAGGATTCAAAGATTTAGAGGCCTTTAACATAGCTTTACTAGGGAAGCAAGTGTGGAGATTACTCACTCAACCAAACTTGTTGGTTAGTAAAGTTCTTAAGGCTCGATATTTTCCTAAGGAGTCCATTTTCAACTGCAAGGTTCCTGCAAATGCTTCGTGGATCTGGAAAGGATTGATGGGGGCAAGGAAGTTTATGGAGGGAGGAATTCGGAGGAGGATTGGGAATGGGAAAAGTACCAATATATGGGATGATTCCTGGATTCCAAGTGTTCATTTGGGCAAGGTGTCTTCACCTAAACCAGAGGAAACCGTGCTTCACAAGGTTCATGACTTGATACATCAGCGAAAATGGATTCGGCCCCTAATATTTGCGACTTTCAGCAAGCAGGATGCAGAAAACATTTTGAATATCCCCATCAGTTTAGGGACAGAGAGGATTGTCACTACTGGATCCACGGAACTAATGGCATCTATACAGTGGGATCTGCATATAGGAAGCTAACTCAGGAAAAAATGCACCACAATAACCAAGGGGGAAGGGAGGAAGCTAGTACAAGCTGGAGCAACCACAGCCAAGGAATCTGGAAGTATCTGTGGAAGCTCAAAGTTAAACATAAAGTCAAGATCTTCCTATGGAAATGCCTTAGCCAAGCCCTGCCAGTGAGACAATTAATAGCGAGCAGGACAAAGCAGGGGGATCCAATCTGCAGAGGGTGCGGTGAAGATAGTGAAACAATTGAACATGTTTTATTCCATTGCAGCTATGCCACACAGGTCTGGAAGTTAGCTCCCATCCAATGGGATCTAACTCTGGACCATCAAAGTTGCTTCAAGAAGTGGTGGACCACTGTGACAGAAGCCAAAGCTAGAACAGAAGGAAATGATCACCTATCTTTAACAGCCAACATCCTCTGGCACATATGGAAAAGCAGAAATGCAAGAGAATTCGATGATAAGCAAAGGCAGCCATGGAAAACGGTTCAGAAAGCTCAGGAAGAGTGGTTTGAATTTAAGGAAGCTAATGAAATACCATCAACACGGAGTACAGAAGAAACAAGAACTCGGCAGTCACAAGTGCAGCTACAAGAGCAAGGCCATAATACAGTGACACTGAGATTAGCAATACAGGAGCGAAAGGTCACTTCTCAACTCGGAATTGGGATCATATGCACTGGGAATTTTCAACATCAGGCTCAAGGGTGGGCGCTACATGAGAGAAGTTCCGGGAATCATCTCATTGATGAATTACAAGCTGTCAAATTACTGCTTAGTAAAGCTACTGTATACCAGTTTGAGAATATTCAGGTGCAGTTGGACAACAAGCGAGTCTTTCATCTAATTCAGAATGCTAAAACGCTGGACATGCGCGTCACATCACTGCTAGAGGATATTCTCACTTTGAAGGCCTTGTTTCGAATGTGCTCTTTTTGTCTAGTTGATGGAGATAATAATCATTTAACTAATAGGATTAGCGCTTATGCGTTGAATATCATTCAAGATGAGGAATTTGTGATTCCTTAGTGCCATTGTGCACTAGTTGTATTTAGTTATCAAGCCTTTGCTTGAATTGTATAGTTTACTTCATGATATAAAATCACTTATCGTTGCGACCAAAAAAAAAAAATCAGGAAGAATATAGAGAAGCAAACTGTAATATATGTACCTCAAAATTTCAAACAATGAAAGTAAAGAAATTTGGCCATCTTTTACCAACAATAGCACCCTTTGAACACTGCAGCTAGTTTGAGCAATTGAGCTCTCTTAAATACAAGACCTGTTTGGAAGGTGAGTTTTTTGGGTGTATGTATAAAACTTTACTGTAGATTACTGTAGAAGTTGTAGAAAAACTTTTGTAAGAAAATTTTTTGGGTGTTTGTAAGATGAAATTTTTTTTTCCTTTTCATTTTTTCCTTTTCTTTTTCTTTTTTCTTTTTTTTCTTTCTTTCTTTTTTCTTTTCCTTCCTCCCTTTCTTCTCCTTCTCCCACCCCCTTCCCTTCCCTGTTTCCTCTCCCGAGACTTCCATGGCAGAGACTTCCAGGTGATTTCTTTTTTTTTTTTTCTTTCTGTTCCATTCTCCCTTCCCCGCCACTCCTCCCTCTCCCCCTCTCGTCCCCTCCCCAGCCCTCTCCCTCCCCCGCCGCCCCTCCCCTTCCCTCCCCTCCCCTCTCCTTCCCTCTTCCCCGATGCCATCTGGTCCGGACCCTCCCCTTCCCCTTCCTTTCCCCGCCGCCCCTCCCCTCCCTTTTCTTCCCCTCCCCAGCCACCCTCCCTCTCCCCCAACGCGATCTGGTTGGGACCTTCCCTCTCACGTTCCCCTTCCCCTTCCCTTTCACACAATCTGGTCGGCAGTTGTACATTTTTTTTTTTTAGCTTTTTCTCTCCCTCCCTCCCCTCTCCTCTTCCCTTCTCCCTCCTCCGCCACCCTTCGCCAAGCCTGCATCTCCTTTTTCCCTTCCTTACCGGTTTCGTGCAATATTATCAGCAAGTAGCTAGTGTAATAATTGAAATTTGTGTTTTTTTTTTTTTAAAAAAAGACAACAAATGAGTGTTTATGGCAGGGGATCAGGAGCAAAAGGGGAGAGCCGCCGGACAAACCCCCCATTCTTCCCCCAAGAAACCCAACCCAACCTGAATACCCAAAAATCACGAATTGATCAGAAGGGAACTGGGGATTTGTGGCTAGCTAGCATCTGTGCAGGCATTGACAAAGAAAGAGCAAGGTTTTTTTTTTTTTTGGGGGCGGGGGCAGGGGCGTGGGGCGAGGGGGTAGTAACAATGACAGTGCCCCGGGAGAGGTGGTGGGGGTGGTGGCTGGTGTGGTGGTTGGGTGAGGGAGGAAGAAAAGTTTTTGGAAAATTTTTTGTGTATTTTTGAAGTGTATAAGTAAAAATCTTTGAAAAGTTTTTTTGGGGTTCCTGTAGCAAAAGTTGTTAAAAAATTAGTAGTTAAAAAACTTGATAAAAAACTAGAGTGTCAAACAGGCCCACAGTTGCTAGTAAAACAGGAGATGGATCCTCAAGCAATGAAGACTACTATATGTTACTTTTTTTGTACTATGGCTGTCAGAATTGTTTATTTTCTACATTTCATTTCACATAAAGGTGGAAAATTGGAGGTGTTTCATGCACCTCTTCTAAAGTGTGAAGCTAAATAATTCTTGAACGATCATGCTTTCAAACCTTTTTCCTTCTCTTGCTGATAAAGGCGCGCTCTGGTACCTATATACTAATGAAAATCCACTTGCCTCTTCTTTAAAGGCGTGACACACCTAGAATTACATCAATACCTTGCCTTTTCTTGATAAGATTTTGACACAAAAATTAGTGGGCGACACCTTTTTATTATCAAGAAAATTACACTTAAAAACATTTCAATGAGCCAGGCTAAGCCCCATAGATCCCCACATACTTGAATGGTTCAGATTTCCTGAGTTTTCTGGTATCCCACTTTCAGCTCCCAATTTATCTCCAAGATTACGTAGTAAGCACACATTTAGCACCAAACTTCCAAGTCATTATGTAGCTATAAAAATGTGTTGCACAAAAAATATGTCAGCTTGGTCAACAGCAGCTTAATTATCAGTACAGATTGTGCCAGAATAGATCACATTAAACTCACTGAATCAAATAATGAATGGACCAGCATTTGACTTTTGAGATAGTTGATATTGCAATTTCTTGGCTGTGCAATAGTCATCCAACTTCGTCTTGTTGAAGGGGAATTTTACTAGCAACTTAGTTTTGTTAATGTAACCATCCTTTTCTCCATTGTTGCAAAACTGTGTTTAGGTGTTACATGAGCATTTAGCAAATCAAAGGTAGACGTAATTAGACAACTGAAATGATGTTATTTTGAACAACAAAATCATCAAAGATTCTTGTCTATTATTAGAGAAGACCAAAGAAAGTAAACTTGACAGAGACTTGAATAGGTTTCACATTATTCACGAGCAACCACCACAACCTGCTTCCCAACGTTGCGACCTGAGAAGAGTCCTATCAGGGCACTTGGGGCATTCTCAAGGCCTTCAGCTATGTCTTCCACATATGCTATCTTCCCTTCTTTTATCTGGGGTAGAACCATATCCAGAAATTTTGGATAGAGATGATAGTAATCGAACACCAAAAATCCTTCCATTTTAATTCGCTTAGTGATCAGGCAGAAGAGATTGTGAATGCCTTCATGCTGCTCAAGGTTATATTGTGAGATCAATCCGCAAACAGCAATGCGACCGTGGACTCTCATGTTGAGAAGCACGGCATCAAGCATCTTTCCTCCGACATTCTCAAAGTAAATGTCAATGCCATCTGGAAAGTACCTAAGGGAAAAAAGATAGAAAGTCAGGAATGCTGATTTACTTTGAGCAGTCCAAAGTAAGAAACTGACTGTGACAGAATCATCCTCCTCTAATGCGCCAACATGACATGCAAGAAAAGAATGAATGCTGGCAAATTAAGATCTGCATTGAATGTTGATAACTTGGAGAAGTGTGCTTCGAGCTCAAGGTACACATGTACCAGGTGACACATATACACAGTTCATTTAAGTGAATGCCCTGCCACTCAGAACAAACTGCCTTGGGGAGTCAGAAAGTAGATTTTAAAATCTAAACTTTTCAGCCAGTATATTAGGACTGACCTTTTTAAAGCCGCATTTAGATCTTGCTCTTCTTTGTAGTTGAAAGCTTCATCAAAACCAAACTTGTTCTTCAACAAGTCAACCTTTAAAGAAACAAGATAAAGCAGGATGAGAGAAGAAACAATAGGCATACAGTGATATCATGTGGCTAGCTTTAAGAATCCTCAGTGTTTGTTCTAACAGACAAATATGAAGTAAAAGTTCCCCTTGCAAACATTATTCAGGCTAATCATGCAAGATGCCTGGAGTAAGAAGGGTGAATTTATTTATTTTTCCTTTCTTGTTTTTGGTACAGCAGATCATTAGATGCTCAATGGATGCTATCTGAATATATGCTGCTTCATGAAGCATAGGTACAACTAGCACTGGAATCAGACAATAGAAGATCCAAACAATATGAAATGCTTGACTGCCTTCAGATATGGAATGGTTAGAATAAGCTACTAGTAATCAGTTCAGAGTAGCTTTCACCAAGACTGCCCTGTAATGACCATCAGCATTCTTTATAGAATTGAAGGTTCGCAATTTGTACGCAAAGAAAGTCTATGGTAGAAAAGAAAAAGGACTCAACATTCAGTTTATCTAGAAGATACTCACACAATCTTATATTAATCCATTTCAACAGAAACATGAATAAGGTTCTCACTGAAACTGATACAAGGTTTCCAATGATCTAAATGGCAGCAAACAAAGTGCGGGCTTGCTTTCTTGAACCCAAAAAGGAGGAAAATTGACCATGCAGATGTCTTAAGAGATTACCTTTTCTTTGGTTCCAGCACTTCCAACAACATAACAACCAAAAGCCTTTGCAAATTGTCCAACAAGCTGACCAACAGCTCCAGAAGCCGCTGAAATGAATACACGCTCTCCCTTCTTCGGAGAACAAATCTCAAAAAAACCAGCATAAGCAGTCATGCCAGGCATACCTGTTAGCAAAGCAGAACAATTGAAGAGGGGGGGGAGGTCTTAAAAAAATTAGGAGCCACGATGGCAAACTGGTAGGGATATAACACTGGAAGCATCAAAGTAAAAGGTTCTGCAGCCACATTCAGTTGCTTGAGGTAAATAAAACATGTTTCTCTGTCCCATCCTTGAAGAATGTCCCAGAAATTCCAAATAAGGTAACGTTAGAAACACCAGTAATGGTAAAAACATAGAAGATCAGCTCCAGAAAAATTAGCATCAGGTGGTGGCAAGAGATACAAGCATATGGCATTGTAGTAGCATCTAAATCGGATGAAGAGGTTCAAGGAAGAAGTGAAACTATTCATAAATAAAAGACTCGAGCAATTAACACATGGACCTAATTCCTGATCACTCTCTGATGACAGTTCCCTTAAGAGCAGATCTTACATCATGTACAGCTCACTATACATAAAGGAGGTATATCCCATTCCTACCATAGTAAACAACTGTAAAGTGCTTCAATCAGACTGCTAAAGCTTACTAAAGTTCCACACAAAGCCTTTAAAGATAACGAACATCCAATGCTGGAAATCTCCAATAAGAAAAGGAAGTAACTTTGATACTGGTGTACTGTAATGGAAACCTAATCAGACAGAGGCACTGACCGAGGATTCCTGTATAGTAGGACAGAGGCACATCAGTGTTGTGAATTTTAAAGCGAGTCTCTGGATCAGCAATTACACTGTATTCTTCCCAGCGAGTCAATCCCCATAGCAGATCACCCTTGTTGAATTTTGGATTGTTTGACTCCAAAACTCTAGCCACTCCAAGACCCACTATGGGCTACAAAGTGAATCAGTATCAAGTTATGAATTTGACTTGAGTCTACTCATGAAAAGTAAAACTTCTGCCCCTTCAATTGCACCATAAACAACTACATGTATTACACCTATTATGTTATATCCAAAGTCATGGG